GGGTTGCAATTCTGCTTGGAATTCTGTTCCAAGCAGAATTGTTCCAATCTCCATTTCTCCTTCCAAAAATAGTGGCCATTTACATGAAATCACTTTGATCATGAATGTGCATTTGAAGTAGTGTAAAGTTGTGTTATTTTAATTTATTAACAAAAATACGCTTCTGAAATGTCATGTTTGGGCGGAACATTCTGAAGAATTAACAAAAGGAGTTTGCTCAAATCAAAATAAGTGTGCAGATATCCATGTTCATTATAAAAGTCAGCTTTGAACAGATCAGTCCTCAGTGTAGAGACCTGAGGAACAACGTGGCACCAAAATGCATCAAAATGTTCATTTAAAGGAGAGTCAGACACCATTGAATAGAAGTAAACTTAGAGATTAATTGCATGGGGGTGGGTGGGTGGAACCAGTGCCAAAGCATAGATTTTTTTAACTGCCAGGCTACAAAACCATTTACACGAATTGTGTACAAGCAAAGTTATGCAAACTATAACTGATTTCAGAAAAATAATGTGCAGAAATCTGTGATTAACATCTAAATAGAATAAAGAAGTGTTGAGTAGACATCATCCTTCTTACACTGCAGAGACTCCAGCTGCTTCCTGTTGTGCAAGTACAGCTGTGTACTGTGCGTATGCAGCTCTGCACTCTGAATTTGCAAGAGGAATCAAGGAATTCACAGGGCAGTAAACTATTAAAACAGGAAGAGCAGAGCCAGAAAAAAATGCTTCTTTCATCCTCAAATGAATTAATATTGTAAGGTATAGATATTGGCAGAGAAAATAGTTAAGTGATGTAACACGCCAAGGCAGGAACTTACTGAAAAAGAAACTAGACTTAGACTGAAAAAAATTATTCTAAGTGTGCAAAAAAGTGAAAATCTTTTCTTATGTAGTGCTTGAGGATGAAAGAACATACCTGTCATTTCATTGACACATTCTTACTTCTCTTTTTAGACCTGAATGAATTTAAATTGCAGCAGCCCAACCTCCTCCAAAATACTCTTTACTATAGCTTATCCTTTCCGTAAAGCAATGGACTCCACTGAAGTCATCAGTGGCTCAACTGCTTAAAGCATGAATATTTTAAAAATTATTAATTTCAAAACAAAATAACTTGCTAAACAAAGAAAGAGAAGCTTTTTTTTTTCCCCTGAAAATATAACCTGTTGATATGCACAAGGAGGAACTTGACAGATGTGAAAATAGAGTACAGTAGTATTAAAGCTGCAGCTCCAGGTAGGACTCCTATTCCCCACCCTCCTAAATCTGTGGGACATTACTGTCCTCAAAGCATTGACATTTCAGACACTTGCAAATGAGCTCCTAAGTAACCAGTTTTCAGGGGCAGCTTAATTACTGCAGTAATAGAGACCAAAAATATCTTTGTTTTTACAAGGCACAGTCTATGAAGAGAAAAGAGATGCCACAAAACTGAGGTTGGTTTATCAGCTGTAATACATACAGGTTCAGGCATTAGTCATAAAACATCAGTGTATCTATTTTCAACTATAAATTTATGTAGCCGGCTCACACAGATTAACATGTGCCTCTCCCTACCGGGCAGATGTACACAATATTAACCTTCACAGGGACCAGTCGCTCAGGCAACAGGATACAATAAACAGGACACTGAACTAAGGGAACTGAAGAGGCTTGGGTATTCATCCCAGCTGCATGCTGGAATGCTCCGAGATCTTCAGTATACATCTAATGAGCTTAGTGCCAAAAATATGTATTTTAAGGTATCCGTATAACACTTTCCCCTTTATCAGCAGAAAAGTCATAGGGATAAGGAAATACTGAATTCAATATTGAAAGTCTGCAAGTAATTAAACAAAATAATTACGTCTTCACATATTAATCATAACAATTTACACAACTTAAAAAAATACCATGGTGATGTTACATTCTCTGCTCATCACCTCTAATTTGGATCAACTTTGCTTTTTTATCATTAGTAAAATGCGCTTAATTGAATTTTCAATTTTCTTAATGCAAAGCAGACAAATCCAAACACTGCCAAATGCTTCTGCTGTTCCCCACTGCTCAAATATCTCATGTGCTCTGGAAATAGACTCCTTCACAGACTTGCATAATCCCATGGAGGGGAGTTTTTCTTTGTTTGGTAAAATACAATTTAAGCAGTATGCCTTACTTTATCCAAGTTCCATCTTATCAGTATTTATACTTACTTGGAAAAAATAATAAAGATTTGGTTTTGCGAGGAAACATTTAATAAGGCAAGTATTATACCAGCATATATGGTTCAGCATTAAAATAAATTCTTTTTAATTAGAAACCTGAAAAAACCCCCCTACTTCTTCACAATCTGCAATCACATCACTACATTTTGCTCATGAGAACAAAGTTTACAGTCATAAGTTGCACATAAAGGGTTTATTTTAAATGTTTTAAGGATAGAGTTACATCATAATTATAAAAATTACTTACAGAATTAAGTAACAGATTTAAAGTGTTTATACTTCTAAATGCAGAGAACAGGGAACTGTCTACATTGTTCAAAATAAAATAAAAATAATAAAATCAAGCTCTAAAGATGAAGTCATTACCTAATTTTAAAATGTGAACACGAAGACCTTTGAACTATACACATACCAAGAACCATCCAAATTGCACTAATGATGTAAAATACAAAAAGCACAGCATTTTCAAGGAACCAGAAACTGTTTTTACCATAGTTCTTTTCCCTGATGCGACTAGTCAATTCTATCTAAAGATAAAGCCTCAATTTTTACATAATTCACTTAAAGAAGACTTCTACCTGTTGCAATTAAAAGCATTTTCCCCATAGTCTACTCCAACATAGTTTAGGGTTTGGCACTCAAAAGAAAGAAGAAAAATGTAGTGTTTTGCTCATCAACCGCAATTTTATTTTTTCTTTAACAGAATACATGGTCCCTTCAAATGCTGTATGACACATACAACTGGGAAATTACCTTCCGTTGGCACTATGCTCGTCTCACCGGTGCATTTAATCCTACTAACAACCATTAAAACAGCACAATAAGCAAATTCACAAAAAACTGAACACAAAATAAAAACAGAACAAAACAAAAACCTAAACATTTTAACATGCAACTTTAGTTTGTTACATTGAACGTTCTAACCCTCTAAGCATGCAAAAAAGGATGGTCTGCATTTAAGTATTTTTTTTCCTTTTAAAAAGTTTTACATGGCAGCCTGACGTCACACACACGCACACACACAATATACAACAATACTACAGCAGGTAAATGTGAAAGGCGAATAATTTTTATACAAAGATCCACGGCTTGTGCCATCACAAGCCCTATGTGATTTTGGAAAGTAATGTTGAACCCCTATAACAAGGAACCAACATTTAGTTACCAGGGTAACGCAAGCACTGCATGCAGATCTGAAACATGAGCCTAAAACAAAGCCCAAAGCAGATGGGCAGGGAGTGGAATTAGTCTCAAGCCTCAAAAAGGTGGTTTAAGCTACCCCAAAAAAAGGAAAGGAAAAAAAAAAAAACACAACACAAAAGAAATCAAGAAAAAAAAAGAAAGAGGAGAAAAAAAGGTGCAAAGAAATACCCACACAACAGACAACGGGGACATCTAAAAACAACCATAAAATTTACAGATTATAGTCTAATTGTCAGAATATGTGGTGTATTCAAGAGGCTTGCAGAAAACCCACAAATGCAAGCCTAATGCTAAAAATGTTCCAGTAGACCTAAACCTCAGATATTTCAAAACAAACCTTGTATTCCTCAGATATATAGCCCGAAGTTCAGTGTACTAGGTTATTCGTGTATCTTGCGTATAATCAATACACTCACTCATTCTTGTGCCACAAATATCAACTTGGGCTCATGGAGCCAGGCTCAGCTTTGAGATTTACATGCAGGACTCTTAAGAGTCAATAGAAAACACATAACAGATCTGCAGGATGAAAACACTGTGTTGCAAATCTGCTCACTTTGTTCAAAACACAAGGAACGTTTAGGACTCGGGTACTTAGTGCTTAAGGACTGCATTGAGAAGCTATTCACTGAAAGACAATAGCCTGCCTTTGGTTGCCCATGATGAAATACTGGACATAATGCAATATAGTAGCAATGGACAAAGAATTAAGGTATATTTATATGGAGAGTATTTATTACCATTCAACAGTATAATGAGGCACAAGCCTTAAGGCTAAAATATGAAATCAGGCAAAAAAATGAACAGAAAGGGGCTTAAACCACTGAGTCTTCAATATCAAGAATATCCACGACAGAGGTCATCCGAACCTCTGATCTCTGATTAACAGCACCTCTCCTGCATCCTTCCACTAATGGCATAAGGTTGGACATCAGAGCATTTGCTCCTTCCATCAACAGTGTTGACTGTCTTCGCATACTGTACTTCAGTGAAGCAGTTCTTTGAAACTTGCAGAGCTCTGCCTTAATGTAACATGACAATTCCGTTGCTGTGCTGATCATTGTTGCAATTCTGATACTTTTAAAAGCTGCCCTAATCTTCATTTACAACTATCTTGCAAGATTAAAACCATGAAAGGATTTTGCTGTTGTGGGCTGCTATTTACATCCACAATCTAATGCAGATGACTGAACCACTGAGACTGCCTATAGCTTCCATTAGATAGTACACCACTGGCATGCAGAACTCGAGTGTTCATAGAGTGAAATTCACATTAATAGCATACCTCAAAGCAAGTACAATGTACACCACAAAAGGCAACAACAGGTTTAAGCTGTAGATTTGTCCAGACACTCCTTATGTGGAAAAGCCAGAAAAACAATAAATTGGGAAGATGCCTTCTTGAACCAAAATGGTTAAAACCAACACAAACCAAACAAAGAAATGCAACAGACTGAGCAGAAGGCAACAAATGCTTCTCCTTCTCTAAAGTAAGTCTTCAGTGTAAAGGACACCCCCTCCCACCCTTCTGGCATGAGATTGTATCTACTATGTAAAATATTAACTACTGTTAGGCTTCTAAGTCCACACACAAACATTCAGGTTGCTAGGTTCTGATATTAAATGAGAGACTACTGATTGCCAATGCGTAGTCTGAAGTCTTCTGAAGTAGCATATATACTGTTGAAGTTGTGGCACCAAGCACTTGGGTTTTGCTAAGAAGTGTGTATAAGAAACAAAGAAAGAAGTACAACATCTAGGATTGAAGGCAGCCCTGTTGCATGTATTTTACTGGTTCCTACAACTTGTAAATATGGGCCATTGACCTGCGTTTTCTGATTAATTGGTTATACAGATTAAACATATTTTTATAGTTTAAAGCCTTTTCACTGAAAGGTGCGTAAGTCAAACACTTGATATCCTACTGCCCTGTGACTAGTAAAAATGCACAAGTATTTCCATGTACTGCAAGTTCTTAAAAAGCTACACTTGAAATAACATGTAGAAACACAGCAGACTGATGTTACTTGGGTTGGGCATTCCTCAATGCTGCACAAACTGTTTAAACCTTTCAAAAAGTCACCTCTGTCCCAACCCTGAAAACAAGGACTGCCAGTAGCCAAGAAATTAAATTTAATGTTACAAAAGAAGGCATATCAAAATATCAAACTACACTTGCATGTGGCAGTTGAACAAGTGAGTGCAAGATTGAAGAAAAAGTTAAAATCTATGAAAAAATTTAGATTAATGCTTACAATACTAGATCAACTTTACACAGCTTGAATTTGCAGCTGTTCTTTGCTTTTAACTCCCTCCTGCCCAAATATATTGACTTCCTTCAAGAAAAGGAGTTCTCTTACACAAAACGTGTCATGTTTGTTTATATTATTCAGAACAAAATAGTTTTGCTGGCAGAGATTGTGGGTTCGCAGGGACATTTAAGCTTTCATTAAACTGGAAAGCAGTCAAGTCTTTGTTTCTACAAATTTTACATTTAATAGTTCCACAAATTTGGCAAAAGTTCACAATGACGTCTAGGATGTCTTCACCAAATCGTAGACATAAATATGGAAATCATCATCAAACTTGATGAAATAGACAGATGGTTTGGCTTCAACTTGATGAATGACCATGCCAGTCCTTTTTGAGCCATCTTCTTTGGCATATTCCACTTGTTTGCCTACCAGGCTGTCCACAACTTCACCTGGTTCCCGTTCTGCAGGAGGTGAATCATCTGTAACACAAAATCAGTGCACTTTGGTAGACATTAAAGGAATTTTTAAATATTGAAGACAACTGTAGAGTCTTCTTTAAAACTCACATGAAACAATCATAAGTTTTAAATACAGAGTATGTAGAAAGTTAGCTTTGTTCAGACAAGCACCTAACCATTGCCATGCTTCTAGAAAGTACAGTTGCAGAAAAAAATTCAGTTTTATTAAGACAAAAATAGCACTTTGATTGGTAAGAAAAGTAAATCTTTTGACATTAAGGTTTATGCACAAGTTACAGAAAGTGTCTGTGGATAACTGAATTTAAGTAACCAGCAGATAAAGGTACTGGGTCTCCTTAGCAGAAAGGCAGCCAAACTAACAAAACAAACAAACCAAACCTCCCTCTTCCCACACATGTTATTATAAGTTCCAATGCATGCATGCCACTGCAACAAAAATTTCTCTTCTAAAAGTTAGTAAGTGTAAACTTCCTATTAAAAGGGGTTTTTGACTCCGTGTTGGAACAATGCTGTTGGTAAAGTCTAAGCATATTATTTTCTTGTCTAGCAAAACCTAGCCAGCAATATCCTTATATTTTAGATGATACATGTGTTAAATCTGGATACAAAAAGGTGTGACTTGTAACATGTCAATTGCCAAGGCATGGGTTACAAGCCAATGACAGAACAAATGTGATAAAAGTTAAAAGCATTGTTCTGGAGAACTGGAAGCTAACCACACCTTCTTTCTCAGCTTGTCGTCTTTTTTACTAGTTTTGATAAACCTGTGTTTTGTATTTCAGTGAGGAATTTTCTTAGTAATGGTCACACCCAAAGTAGCTTTTATTCTGGAAAACCTGAGACATTAAATTAATGTCCTTTTTCCAAGTTTGCGTTAAGAATCCCTTACAGATTTCACCTATTTTATTTTCAATTCTGTTAGTTGTGAAAGAACTCCGAAAGGAGGAAAAAAAAAATCAAGGAATTAACAGACTGGCTTCTACTTACACTTAAGATTCTTCCACAAACTACACGTTTCTCTTTCAGTTTTTGTTTCAGCTCCTCTACACAAGCACTGTCATACATAGTTATGATCCTTTTAATATATAAACTCCTCTTGTGTAGAGACTCTTCCTTGACAAAGATGCAAGTTCAACTCCTACATTTTCATTTAGAAGTAATTCTGAAGTGCTGACAAAGTTTTAGTATCAGGTCCAGAACTACATTTCCCCCATGCAAAAAAAAGTTTAAAATAAGTTATCTAATTTTTGCTATCCTCACATATGCAAAGCCTGTCTTTGAGAAGAATGAGCTCCCTAGAAATTTTAGGGAACCAAATTTACAGACATACTTCCAGGTATTCTAAAATCTGATTTGAAAAAATACTGCTCTTAAGATCCAGTCATTGACTTAAGGACACGATTCAAAAGGTCTGGAAATCATTCAGATTTAGGGAAGGCAGCAAATAATTAGAAGTGTTTTGGAAACAGGTGAGCAGTAGATAAGTCTTGTGGTGAGCATGGAGGAAAAAGTGCACTAAAGCAGATTAGTTCTTAAACAGAAAGCATGCAACATTTTTCCCTACCCCCACTTCCAAAAGTGGAAGAAAACATTCCAAATGCTTTTTAATTGTTAAGACAAAGAACAAATTATTTGAAGGTTCAAATCTGAAAGAACTTGCTTTATTTCTTTAACAAGAGGAAAGTCACTTTCTTCCATTAACATTTGTGGCTCACTCTTTACAAGACGACAGGTTGCTTTTTGTTGGGGGGGAATCTAAACACAGATGATTACTACAGATGTTATGAAAATAAGTGCCAATTGATTATTTAGCCAGCAGACTGGTATCAGTGCTAGATCTGAAGGAACACAGTCTCAAACTCAACAAATTAATTGTAACTAACACTTATGTAATGCACTATGTTGCCAACCACCACAGAGATCCAGTTATTAATTTTCTTTAAAGCCTAGACTGCCTCTGTCAGAGAAGTGTGTTTTAGGTACATGGGAGAAATAAAAAACAAGTATTCTTTATGAGCTTTTTTCCCTTCTTTTTTGTACTGGCTATCCAAATCTCTTGAACAATATTGATTCTGTGAAAATCCTTCTAAATTAATAGGAAAAGTCCTGATGACTGAAAAAAAACCCCAACTTCCTAATCTACTGAAATATTTTTCTTGCTAGTGTGTTGCAACATGTGAGAGAAAACCTATTTTCAAAAGATTAGATTTTCTTTTCCCCAAGAAACTACTCAAAAGTTTTTCACACTGAAGACAAAATTAATATTAGTTGGTCCCAAAGTATTATTGCCACAAGAACTGCTTCAGAAACACAAATCAAGAGCCATCTCAATGAGCTGCAATACTTCTGTAAGAAAGCCATAGTGGAAAACTTCTGGTTTGTCAGCTTCCATTAAAAAAATCCAAGCATAAACTCTTCCACAGTACATATGTTCATCAGAATTAGAAAAAATTACAGAAAATGCTTTCCCTGCATACATCACTGCTGATAAAAGCAAAATATTTCAGCAGTTAACACAGATCTTTGTGGTGCTATAACCTTTGTTAAGTTATGATACTTCAAAGAAAAAAAAAATTAAAGGTAGTAAAAACAAGATCTTAGTTTGACAACTTTCCTGTCCATAAATAAAACACAGACAAACCTTAATATAAAAAGCTGCCACTTTCCAGAAGAAAACAGTAACTGGCTACTTACTCGAATCAGGCATAATGCGAAGGTCACCTTCTTTATAATCATCTAAGAGTTGGTACATGTACAAGACAGGATCTTTCTCGTAGGTAATATAAAACCATGTGTTCATAATAGGAGCTCGAGCCAAAACCATCCCCCTCCATTCATCTTTTGAGCCATCCTCTGTCTCAAACATATGTTCCACAGCTTTACCAATCATTGTGTCTGCCAGGTGGGCATCACTAATTCGAGATGAAGCTGAAATGACAGCATTTCTTAAATTCATTCAGAAGCACAGATACATGTCTTACAAACATTGTCCATTCCAGAGAGTTTACTACTGAAGAACTGCAGAACTTCAGAATTTTCTTAAAGTAACAGTATACCACCATACTACCTAAGACTAAACAATCATAATGCAAAGTGAAGAACAATGGAGGCCACAACAGTGAAGACTCTAAGTAGAATCTGGAAGGGTAGAGGCAAGCAGGGCAGAAGAGGAGGAGAAGCCAATCACACAATAGTTCTGTGAAGATATTAATGAAACTTTGGGGTTTGGTTCCCCCTAATACCACTCTAGAGACTGCTACTAATTGCAGTCAGAAGAAGAAACAGCTCATTTTGTTTAATAAACCAGTATTTACTTGGGTAAATACTGAACTTTGCAATCTGAAAAAACTGCAGTTTAACAATCCAATGCTAATTCTGAAAAAAAGCCTTGTTACTAATCAAGTTATTTCACTTAGAAAATGCCTTTTCCTCTCATTACTAAAGGTACATATGAGATGTACATGAGGAAAAATGTGAAACTCTATCTGTCAGATACACACAACAGACAACATAGCAAAGACAGCTTAGAGTTTAAATTTTAACAGAAATACCAATGTTAACTTTACATATGGAAATACTACAGAATGTACTTCATACTACTTAAAAGACTGAAGACAGCACTACACTCACTGGTATCAAATCTTTGTGGAATCAAGAAAATTTAAATTGAGCATTTAGATTACCTGTCATGGGACAAAAATGAAATTGTCTAGTAACATTTAAGTGGTCAGATGTTATCTCGGGGGAAGTCTGGAGAGATTAGTGGAGAACATCTAATAGTAAATGTTGGCTTATATGTACATTAATTTAGGAGAAAAACTCAAAACACTTACCAACTCTGTCTGGAAGAACTTCAAGTGCTGAAACTCTTTCATCTTTGTGCAGTTCTAGTCCATACACACAGTCAAATCCATCATACTTTATAAGATAGAGAGAGGGATTTACAGGAACTTGATCAAGAACTGTGCCCTTCCATTGTGTTACAGGTCCACTCCCTTCTTTCCATCCGTGCTGTATTCTGCAGCCTACAATATTTCTTCGTGGCTGAGAAATAGGTTTGCTTGGTCCCACATTGTTTCTATGCTTTCTGTACACAGATACAAACATAATATTAATATGTACATACATATTCAAAATTCTACTGCAGACAAGAGGTGTATGCTTTAAGATGGCAATATATTTTATAGCTTAGTGCACCTTATTAAAATATAAAGCATATTACACCACATTGGAAAAAAGAAAAACACACTGAAAAGTAGTGAAACTTTTTTGATGTGCTTTATAAGGTCAATTTCCTAGTAGTCTTTTCTACAACTAGTTTGCTTAAGCCAAAAGAACTATTTTAGCCTTTGCTACACTGAGTATCAAAAGTAAACTCACCTCAGGTCTCAAAGCACAAAGTTACCTGTCAGTATTATAACTTTACTACCTTGTTGTGCACTGCAGAACAGCAAACAGAACTCCCGTCCCAGGAGAAAGAGGTCAGTGGAAACATTATCAGTCGCTGACTAAAATTGTTCCAAGGCATCTGCTTTCACCTGAAGGAAATTTAGCTTCCCTCTCCATTTATAGATACTTTGACGTCAAGTATTTTCAAAGACACATATGAGAAATAACACTTCTCTAGCATTCCTTTTTAGTATAGCAAAAGCAAAATGATATGTAATTCTAATGGCAGTAGGAGGGATACTCCTTGATGTGGAAAACAGATTAAATATACTTTTTTGTCCTTCCTGTATTTTCATGGAAGTTGCATGGAAATTACCTCTGGTCAATAACAGTTGTTGTTCTGAGCAACAGTCATGTAAGCTATTTAACAGTTTCAAATAACTGAAAGTGTTATAAAAAAGTTTTGTTATACATAGTTATTAAAAACATTAATTGACAATTTTGAATACAAATGGAAGAAATTAAGGAACATTATCAGAGTATACTGCTGATAAGAAACAAATATTGTATCTATTTCAGCATGTTAAAATGCACATATTCATTCTGAAAAAGATTATTTAGAGGGTTGCCTGATCAAATTCTCACATATGCCAACTAGTTGTAAAATAAATTTTTGGGTTACTACTTGTAGCACTTCATTTAAACATCAGTAAAATGTGCGCATGCTTAAAAGCAACATCTAAAATAGAGTATCAGTTGCAGAAAACTTAATACTCTTCCTTAGATTAGAGACAGTGACTAAAGAGAGACGCCTGCAGGAATGATTAATGCTTTCACAGAAGTCCTGTATGATCCAAAAACCCACGTATAACAATCATACCCCTGAAATCCTTTAAACAGTCTTTCAGAATAATGCACTCAGTATGTGACACTGGAATGCATAATGCTGAAGATGTAATTGTCACTCTTAAAACCAAGATGTACAATTCCTTCAGCAGCTTGTCCCACCCTCCAGACTTTCATTCACCATGAAGACCTCAGCAGAGGGTTTTGTCAGATTTCACTTTTTTGTTATCATTTGACTTTTTCATCAAGATAAAACTGCAGCTTTTGTATTCCTAGCTGATAGCAAAGACTATTACAGAAACTCTAACCTCTTCCAGTTAAGAGGCACTCTCCCACAAAGTTGGTTCTAATTTTATGCAGAAACTAGGCATTTTCAAATTCTAGTTCTTGCTCAAGTACTTATCTAAATAAAAAATAAAAATGTAATAGTCTCAGTAATAGTTTACTATTACAAAATGAGATCAGAGATCTGTTTCTTGGCAGAATGAGTTTGATTTGCATGCAATTTATTTATTTAGTTCTAATGAATCACAGTTCCATTCTAAAGCAGAATGAAATCAACTTAAGTTCAAAAAGTTAAAATAGATAAAACACTGTCAGTTTTAAACAGTTTGTCTATGCTACTAATCATCTCATAGCTGAAAAAGGTGAAAATAACACTATTGATATTCAACCTCTCAGTTAATTTTACTTTCTGCCTATAATCCATGTTAATGTTTAAACTGCAACAGTTAAATGAAATGCTTCACACTCATTTGAAAAGATATGATGGAAAAAGGCTACATAACTGAGTCCAAACTGGTAACTACCTTTAAAATGCCACAGAGAGCAAAAAGCATTACAAATTTAATTTCAAGTCAGGTAGCTGCCAGGTGTACTTGCATTTTAAATTTGTTTGAAGGTTGTATTACTGAACAGCCACTCACTCTCATTTGCAGTCATTTATATTGCAAGAAATTAGATTTTCAAATTTGTAAATTATCAAGGAAAACCTACTTCTTCCTGCATTTCAACATGTGGGAAGAAAGCAAGCATAAGTTTCTAACTGTCAATAAATAATAGCTATGAATATACTTCCACGTAAGATACCCAAGTAACCAACTCAAACTCCTCCTCAACAGTGTGTTATTTCTGTGATACATCAGGTAATACAAATGTATATAACCTTCCACGATGCTCTATCCAGAAGGCTCAACACATTTTTTTTCCTTCTGTTTCATTAGAATTATCTTTAAAATTCCACAAAGATTTGCTTTTGAAGATTGGATTAACAATTTTCCGAGACTCATAAAACATGGAGCCAGGAAAACCAGAAAATAATAAGTCCTGGAAATAGCTCTTGATACATCAGACACATCCTCATTGTAAATGGCCCTTCAATCCCCAAAAGTTTCAGATCCTCTTCCTTATCTTGAGGGCAGTAAGCTGGTAGGTAAAACCTAGTCATGTGAAAAGGTTTCATTATTAGACCAGATACTTCAGAAACTTTCTAAAGATTACACAGGCAGAAAGAAATCTTCACAGATTTAAAGTTGTATTTATATGGTCCTCACACATACTTTTATTTGGCAGCTGCTACCAGGGAAACCAATGTAGTGTAGAATTGCACAGGACTGGTAGCAGGGGAAAAAAAGTAATTTTTTTTTTTTTTAAATCAACCATTACTTCAGAGTTGTGCTTAAAAGACAAACTAGCAATTCTCAATAACCTATCAAGTAAAGTTATCCATTTAGGTTTGGTTGGTTTTTTTCCCTCTGATCATCTCAGAAAAAACACCACTGGGTAGAACTCAGGAAAAAGAAGGGTGAGAGAAAACCATACCCCCTTCAGATGTGCAAAAAAGGCACAACTGTGAAAAAGAGCTAGGAAAGCTATAAAACAGTATATAGCAGGAATAGTCAGTACAGTTTCAAGTCTTTCATGTTGCTAAGCAGAAGAGTTATTAAAAATAGGACCCAAAAGCTACTATAATTGTCATCTTGTACCATTAATAGCAGAATGGTGATGAGAGAATTGTTAACTACTTTTCACAATATTCAGACTATGAGGCATATTAGTTGAGGCAAAAGTTCAAACGTACTTTCTGTACTCCCTCAAAAGCCATCATCCAGTTGTGAATTTAATCTTCAGACACTTCAGGAAACAAGATTACGAGTTAAATTAAAGTAGCATCAGAATTTCAAAATGTTTAAGTTCTGTTGTAGTTAAATTGCAGATATAACCTGCAGGTCAAAGTCCTTGAATTCCCAACTATGAGTTTTGTACTTATACTATTTCTTGTACTCTTTCCTTATGCACCAATGGCGGAAAGAATGAGATATGGGAGATTACTGACTGATCTTATGCCAGTGAGGCAGAGATCACCACTATCCATTGACAGAGCACTTGGAAGAACTGCCCTATAACCACAGGAACTGTTTCCAAAGGCTCAACAGTTAAGTATCGTTTAGTAAAGCAGAGTACAGAAGACTCATCCACACTGCTCATTCTATCACATCCTCAATTACTGAGTCATGCCCTGTTCCATCCTTTTGGCTCCTTCCTCTGCCATAAACCTTGTAAAGCTAGTTTAAAATCTCCTTGATGGCCTTTGAGTGCCAGTAGGCTTGTTCCTCTTTCTTTAAATGAGGAATAACTAAATAAATAACTAAATCATTGACAAAGTACACATTACTAACTAATAGTCTGCTGTAACAGCCCAGAATAGTATCAGCATGTACTATTATATGGTCATTCTTATCCTACTCATTTATGGTAAACTAAAAATATAAACAATTCTCTACTACTCTGCCTCATTCTCAGACAAGTCAGTGAGCAGCACACACCCACCTGGGTTTGGTACAAAAACCCTTTACTAAACAGTTAATAAACAATTGAACTAAGTTCAATTAACATAAAACTAAACTGGATGCTTAAATTAAATGCCTCAAAATCATGTCACTTAGGATTAGAACTACAAATAAAGGCCATATAAAAGCCTTTACGCTAACAAATTTACAGCCTATTTAGGTATTTAAATAAGTGTATATCAACACAACAATAAAGACAAATCTAGCCACCCTCAAGTACAAAAGGCAACCCACCTCTGATAGTCTTCCCATCATACACTCCTTTCTCTGAGCGGTTGAAAGAGAACAAGAGAAATTAAGTTTTAACCAACTCTACCTGACCCTACACAAATAAATGTTTCTCTTTGCCTTCTATGAAGATAGACAAGAATGGATAATGATGAGCTGGTGGAAGGAAATAGATTAGTTTTACCTCAGGTGTTGTCTCTGCAAAACAGTTAACACTGTTAGCAGTGATTAATTATGTTAATCATGGAAAATACACCCACCAAACAAATTGCTTTTGATTGATGCACCATTATAGGATTTTACACTTAAAATACAACTAGCAATATTTTAGTAAGTTTCACACTTACCCAGCTTAGATTTCTCCCACCAGAGATGTAGCCAGATATAGTATATTGCAGTTTTATACTAAGACAAATTATACCCAGAACAATACCTTTGTTTTCACACAGCTACTCACCAATGTTCAGCTGCTACTACTTAAAAATGTTGCAGAGGGAAAAATACATGCCAGAAAAGAGTAGGATAAGCAGGTAACCTTCACACACAAATAGCAGCCTCCTTACAGAAGTATTTTGGTATTCTTTATTTTAGGAAAGTAAAAAATCCTCTTCAAAACTACTGTTGTAGTGAAAGTAAGATTAGGTACTTTTAAGATTAATCCCAGACTGGGTTACAGAAAGCATGCTTTGTAGCTTTTATTGGTCCAGTGACAACACGTGAACTCTGCGCCAGGGAACAGAGATCCTACAGTACATAACGGCTAATTTCTTCTGGCTTGCAACTCCTTCTCTGAATTCCAGAAAGAATTATAAAATTGCATTCAAGGATACTTTCATATTAACACTAAAAATGATGTTTAAAACTTTATTTGTGGGGGATTCTTTCCTACCACCCTCTTGAAAGAATTAAAAATCTAACTCTACACACATATGAAGACTAAGCACTATTCCACATGGCTTTCAAGAAAAGTGAGTGAAACAATACAGATATATTTCTAGAGTAGTACTTCCAGTTCTTGAGAGCTATACATTAATAAATGTATTAACAACTTACTTGTGGGAAGTTCTTTTCTTCATCATGCTGGCAGACACTCCTGCATGACCTACAATATAAATGATATTGGAATTACTGAAAAGTGTGCATATAATGTCAAAAAAGCCACTTTATACAAAAGTCTTTCTTTTGAATATCAAAATGTAAAGTGATGTGCAGAAAAGAGACTCCACAACTCAGAAAAGTTGTAAAGTAGGTATGTTTATTCA